TTTTTTGTGGTAAGACGTTTATAATATACTCTTAGTTGTTTTGAAGTATACCCTTGCATTGTGCACATTAGATGAGATCCTGCCAAATAGCCCTCCTTCCACTCGCCCTTCCCCCTTCCCTCCTTTCTCCCTCCTCTTATGTCTTTCTTTCATGCTAAAGTTTTTGAATTTGACATTGGTCCCCTAAATATTTCAGTACATATCTCCTAAAGCAAGGACATTCTATGTAATTATCATACCTAAGAAATTTAACACTGATAGTTATCATTAGCTACAGTCCCTATTCACATTTTCCCATTGTCCCAATAACGTTCTTTATAGCTGTAGTAATTTTGTCTATTTGTTTGTTTTGGATCCAGGATCAACCTCAGGACTGTGCATTGTATTTAATTGTCCACGTTTTTAGTCTGGTTTAGTCTAGAGCAGCTCCTCCATCCTTTCTTTCTTTTCTTCCTTCTTTGTTTATGACTTTGCCATCTTTAAATGAGTTAGCCCTGTTGGTTTGTAGAATGTCTCACACACGGGAAATTCTGATAGTTTCCCCATTATTAGGATCAGGATAAATGTTTTGACCCAAGTACTACATTGTTGATGTTGAGTCCTTCCCATTGCAGCACACAAAGAGACTCCTAAGTTAGTCTTACGCTTAATGATGCTATAGTTAGTCAATCACTTGGTTAAGATAGTGCATATCAGATTTCCTTATTGCAAAAGTTCTCTTTTCTCTTTGTAATTAATAAGTAATTTATGGGAGAGTATTTTGAGATTGTGTGACTATTCTATTCCCCAGCAAACTCTTGATCAGAGCTAGCAGCCATGGATGTTCTTGCCTAAATCAGTCACTACATTGGTGATTTAAAAGTGGCGATCTTTAAATTCTAACACTCTTTGTACATCATTAGCAGACATTTTCTGTAAAAAGTACTTTCCCTCCTCCACTCCTTTTCTCACATATCACTAATGGATTCATAGAATTCTTTTGTAATTCAGTTTATCAATCTATTAACATTATTATTTCTGATACTCAAATTGTCCCAAATTTGGCCAGTAGCAGTCCCTTTTAGATAGCTCCTGTGTCTTTTTAAGACATCCCTATTAGTGTTTCAGCATTTCCTTCCTTTGTGGGACAACAAACTGTCTAGGCTCATCTTGGATCTTCCCTGCCAAAAACTTGGAATCTGTTTCTCCAAGGAACACAGATTTCCTTTCTGTGCAGAATGGCGTTTAGAAACCAAGATCCAGGCACTAGCTATGTACATTGCTTCTGGGATCATTTGTGATTTTGGCCTAATAGTTCTTAACTAGAGTACACATTTGGATCACTTGTGCTTTGTGCAAATGCACCTACCTGGGCACCAGGTAAATCACTTCACTAGATCAAGGTAAGACCCCAACACCCATAATTTTTTGAAAAATCACCATTGGAGATTCTAAATTGCAGCTCTGTTGATGAGAATCCTTCTAGTTATGCAACCTTCTTTAAGCTGGAGAAAATGAGATGGTTAACAGTGCATTTAAATTATAGTTACGGTCCAGTCCTGCTCATTCAGATTACTGTGGGATTCTTCATTAGCATTTAAGCTACTCCCAGATGCCTCAATGGCAGGGTACTACAGTCTCTTGGTTTACCCCAGCTGGAATCTACTTATATCTTTTTGTATGAAATTTACATAGGCCAACCTTATTCTCTTTACCTTGGAGAGCATCTTTGTATCACCCATTGTGCAGGGTCCCCAAAAGGCCACACTCAGCATGTACTTAGGACACCAACAAAGGAGGTGCGTAAGGGGTGGGGAGTGGGGCAACAAAGAGAAACATTTAAACTTCAGCTTTGATGAACTCATCCAGAATTTCACAATTAGAAAATTTAGGAAAGGCTTGGCGCCTGTGGCTCAAGTGGCTAAGGTGCCAGCCACATACACCTGCTATTTGGGAGGCGGAGGCGGGAGACTCGTTTGAGCCCAGGAGTTGGAGGTTGCTGTGAGCTGTGATACTACTGGACTCTTACCCAGGGGGACAACTTGAGGCTCTTTCTCAAAAAAATTTAGGAAAAAGCTTTTAAAATTTCAGCATATATGTAAGTTTTGAGGAGGTTTACAGATTGGTTTTGTTTTTATATTATACATACGTCTCTGGAGCCCAGAGCCTTAAAGGTCTTAATCCTGCCTTGGGCCATACACCCTTCTCTCTTCTCAGAGAGGAGATTCAACAACAGATTGTTGAAAGTAATGAACTGACTTTGAAGCCTTGAATTCATTTCTCCTGTAGACTGGTGATTGCTTTTACATGACCCCTAATTGAGGCAGCTTTTTATCCATAAGAGAGTTAGAAGTCAATAATCACTGGGGCAGTGATTCTTAATCTTTTAGGGGTAGAAAAGACAATTATGGATTCCGTGGAAGCTTGGCATGGTGGCTCCCACCTGTGATCCTGGCACTCTGGAACGCTGAGGCAGTTGGATTGCCAGAGCTCAGGAGTTCAAGACCAGCCTGAGCAAGAGCGAGACCCCCATCTCTAAATATAACTGGGCCTTGTGGCAGATGCCTGTAGTCCCAGCTACTTGGGAGGCTGAAGGAAGAGAATCACTTAAGCTGAAGAGATTGTTGCTGTGAGTTGTGATGCCACAGCACTCTACCCAGGACAACAAAGTGAGACTCTGTCTCAAAATTAAATAAAAGATCTCCTTGGAAAAATTCATAAAAACAAGTCTTAAATATCCCATTCAATTTCAGGAGGTTCCTAGGAGCTGGCTTAAGAGCCCTAGCCTTGAGACTAAATGAACTGACCATTCTTCTGCCCACCAGATGGGAGCTCAGAATGTCTGAGCTCTGCAGACCAGATGGAGTCTGAGGACATGCTGAGCGCCTTAGGCTGGAGAGAAGACAGGCCGAGGCAGAGCTCCAAAGCTGCAAACAACACCTTCCCTACCCTGTCCCCCATGGTCGTCATGAAGAATGTACTGGTCAAACAGGTGAGGAGGACTAATACTGCATAATGTATTTGCAAGTAAAAATTTCCAAGCTAAGCTCTCTCTGCCAAGGAAGAGGTTTTAGAAACAGACCATTAGAATCTTACTTTTCATGTACTTTCTGTCTTGGGCAGCGGATGTTATCTTTCAACTACTGACAGTTTTTAAAAGGCACATAAGAATCATGACGTGCATTCTCCTTTTTGAGACAGACTGTTTTATTTCTGTATTCATAGTTTGTCCAAAGGGACCATGAAATGGTCATATATAAAGGAACCAAGCAGAATTGGCACCACTTCAGTTGTGCATTCTAACATACAGCAGAGTTTAGGGTAGAAACAAATGAATCTCTTTTTAATTTGAATTGCTCTGGGAATTTAGGAATATAGAAAACATTTATTTGCTTTTGAAGTAGAGGCAGTTTCCATGTTTCTTATGTTGTGTATTCTGAGCATTTTCTTAGTGATCAGCCAGAACCATGTCAAAGTGACAAAGATGCTGTTGCTTTAGGTACGGGGATATCAGCAGAATCCACATAGCATTATTGTGGAGGTAGAAATACCCCGTTTGGGGCTTTATTACATAACTGTGCGTATTGTGTGGTTATTGTTTAGGTATGAAAGAAAAGATTGGGATGAAACTGAGAACTCAATCATATGAACTCGGTTCAGTTAGAAGAGAGAAGTCTGAGGAATAGAAAAAGATTGATTTAAGCCAAAGAAATTTAACCTTATCCTTTATTCTGAAACTTATCCTTATACTTTACTCTAAAAATATATCATAGTTCTCACATAGGACATCGATGAGGCTACTCGAAGATAGTGAGATTTGAAATCTGGCTTTAGTAGTTGACCTTTCCAATTTAGGTAAAAGATTAGAACATCTCTTTAGCTTGACAGGAAACTTAAGGTCTTAGCTATTACCTAGTTATTTCTGAGGAACACAAACTGATTTTCAACAGGGTAGCCTGTTGAGTTCTGAAAGAGCATTTGAAGATTTTTGCTTAGTAAATCACATCTCTAGAAGTACAGCTCTCCTTATTGAAGGAAAAAGAGAGAATAAAGACAAGAAATGGAGCCCACATGAGACTGGCCAGCCCCAGCAGAGCTGCCCAGCGCTTTTCCTGGACTTCATTTCTCCTAGCTCTTTTTCCTTCCTTCTTTTCTCTCTAGCTTCCTTGTCACTTTCTTGTGTGTCTGTGTTTATATCTCTTCTTTGTTGTAGGCTAGGCTGGCAGCTCCAGAAGGCTGAGAACAACCCACACACAGTTAAGGAGTGAGTAGGCTTTTCCAGAGAGCTGCATTCTTCAGGCTGCTGGACTTGAGCAGGAGCTAGGAGGCATGGGGACAGGCTGACCCAACAAAGCAGTCTAGCAGTTTTGTTTCTTAAATCATCCTAGTATTCAGCACATTCTAAAATTAAAATAATAAGACACTTTTAAAAACCTCCGCATATCATGTAATGTCTTGATTATTGCTGCTTGATTTTAGATATTTTTCTTTTGAGAGTCTGATTCCATTTCTGCCACTAGACAGTGTGATTTTACACACCACAAGATTACTTAACCAACATGGATATTAGTTTCTTCATTAGCTTTGTGTGAAATGATTCCAAGATCCTGTCAAGTCTAAAATTTTGTTCCATATTCCCTCAGAGGATTTCAACATGAATAATATGACTTGTCAAATCTAATAATTACAACAAATAAGCTAAGTGTCTGTTAGGCCAGTGGGTATAACTGTAGCAGTAAGAAGAATAACCCAGTAAAAGTCATCTTGTGAAAGTAGTTCGTGAGGTACTTTCTGAACCCATTTGGCTTATAGGTCAGCCCTTAGGGATAGTGAGAAGTTTTGCTTCTGACTGAATTAGAGTAGGCTGGTTTCAACTTCAGAAGACTCCAGATTTTGAATATTCTTTGACAGGGAAATCTGGCTTCTGGGCCTAGCATTGGTTGCTTTTGCACATCATAGAGTATATTTGAATACCAACAGGGCACCAGATCATCCCAGCCCTTATACAGGAGATGAATTATAGTTGGCCTAGAGTTCCCAGCTTGGCACCTAAGAAGCTGAAATGTGTTCAGAATGCTGTGTGTGTACACGTGTGGGAAGGTGGTCCACATAGTTCTTCACATAAGTCAGATGGCCCCACATGAGAACCTCTGTCAGGCTCACCCCCTGCCTCGCTTCATCTACACCCAGATCTTTGGGATGGGTTGGAACGAATTGGCTTTCAAATACTAGAGACAAGTAGCAGGTCCTTCGTTATCAGATTTCATCTGAATCAGTACTTGAATTAAAAATCATGTATAATTGAGGAGTAATATAACAATGGCAGTATGACAGAATGGTTCATGTGGGCTTTGGAATCAGACAGCACATGGAATCCTAATGTGCCACTTAGCTTGGTGACTTACAGCAAGTTATTTCACTTTTCAAAGCCATAGTTTCCTATTTATGAAGGGAAATGGTAACTATCTTATGGGATTGTTGAGGGGATTAAATGAGGTAATTCACAAATCAGACACAGTGGCAGTCAGCACCAGTGCATGGAGAGCTGTTAACTACTTTCAGTGGTTTTCTGATTCCTGACAATATGCAACTTTATTTTATTTTATTTTACTTATTTATTTTTGAGACTGAGTCTCACTTTGTCACCCTCTGTAGAATGCTATGGCATTTACAGTTCATAGCAACCTCAAACTCTTGGGCTCAGTGATCCTCTTGCGTCAGCCTCATAAATAGCTGGTACTACAGGCACCTGCCACACACCCAACTGTTTTTTAGAGACTAGGTCTCACTCTTGCTCAGGCTGGTCTTGAATTCCTGAACTCAGGCAATCCACCCACCTCGGCCTCCCAGAATGCTAGGATTACAGGCGTGAGCTACCATGCCCAGCTAATATGTAACTTTTTAATCAAAAGTTGTTTTCAGTGAAAAGGTTCTAGTATAACTAAATGAAGATATACTTTGGGGTAAAGTCCCATTTGTAGTCTTCAGATTGGCACATTTTAACTCATGCTAGGATATGCATGTATTTATTTTCTCAGTTGCAACCTTAATTATGTCATTATTTCACCTATCCATAATTTATTTTTATGAGTGATAGCACTTGAATAAAAATAGATATTTCCTCTAGTTTCCCTTTAGTAAAAGTAAAAAAAAAAAATTTATGGGTACAAAATGGATTTTCAAGTCATTTCTCTAATGTTGTTGACAAGGGCTACTCTATATGCAAGGGAAGCTCTGTACTCGAAATGGTTACGAATACCCAGGTGTCTGTTTTGCCCCTTTGACAGAGTGTCACTCCTCTGTCCTTCCAGCAGTAACAAATAGTGTGCTGCTCTCTTCCTTTGTTTTCAGGGCAGCAGCTCCTCTCAGCTCCAGTCCTGGACTGTGCAGCCCTCCTTTGAAGTGATCTCCGCACAGCCACAGCTCTTACTCCTTCACCCTCCTGTGCCATCTCCTGTCAGCCTGTGTCATGCTGGCGAGAAAAAGTCGGACTCCAGGAACTATTTGCCCATTCTAAATTCTTATGCCAAAATAGCTCCACACCCAGGCAAAAGGGGCCTCTCCCTCAGCCCAGAAGAAAGAGGAGCAAGTGGAATGCAGAAGAAAATCTGTACTGAGAGACTTGGGCCGAGTTTGTCTTCCAATGAGCCAACCAAGACTGGTGCTGTTCCTTCTAGTCCCTCGACTCCTGCACCACCCAGTGCCAAACTTACGGAGGACTCAGCTCTGCAGGGCGTGCCCTCCCTGGTGGCCGGTGGAAGTCCACAGACTCTTCAGCCAGTGTCCAGCAGTCACGTGGCTAAAGCCCCCAGTCTGACCTTTGCGTCCCCCGCCAGTCCCGTCTGTGCATCAGACAGTACGCTACACGGGTTAGAGAGCAGCTCTCCCCTCTCCCCACTGCCAGCCAATTATAGCTCACCTCTGTGGGCTGCGGAGCACCTCTGCCGCAGCCCAGATATCTTTTCAGAGCAGCGGCAGAGCAGACATAGGCGCTTTCAGAATACCCTCGTAGTTCTTCACAAATCTGGTTTGCTAGAGATCACTTTGAAAACTAAGGAGTTGATCCGTCAGAACCAGGCAACTCAGGTGGAACTAGACCAGCTAAAGGAGCAAACCCAGCTGTTTATAGAGGCCACCAGGAGCAGGGCCCCTCAGGCTTGGGCCAAACTACAAGCATCTTTAACATCTGGGTCTAGTCATAGTGGCAGTGACCTAGAAGCGTTCTCTGATCACCCAGACATATAGCACAAAAGCATATTGTCCTGTTACTTGTGTGGTTCTTTTAACTCTTTTGCTCTTACCTACTCCTGTTTCCCAAAGCTTATATGAGAGCTTTTCCTTCTAAACTTAACTGTGTAGCAGTTCACTTTGGAAGCCACGTGCCAATACCTGGCTGTTATCTTAACCTGTGGTCTGGGCAAGGATTACATATGTCTCCATTCCACTGAGGACCTCAGGTTTGGAGTGCTCTTGAGTCCCTTTCCCTTAGCCTGCAAGCACTTAGATGGATTGGGGGCGGGGGTGGGAGTAGGGTGGTGGCAAAGCAGGAGCGATGATTGTGTGGGGCTCTTCTAGCTATCACCTCCCATCATCCCACTCATAACCAGGATCAAGAGTGCAGTAACAGCAATGAGCACGTAGGGTGATGCCTATTGAGCCGAGGAGTCAGCAACCTGAGGATACCTTCATGAATCTTCCCTTGCCTGTCTTAGTCACCTGGAAAAATAAGAGGAGGTGTGTTTGCATTCCACAAGGCATTGTGCCAGTTCAGTGAAACCTGAAATGCTTTGGGCACAGGTGGTGCCTGGGTGCAAGCACTTAATCACTTAAAGCTTTGTTTTCTTAAACTTGAAAGTCAAGGGGAAAAGATAGTACCACTTGACTCTTACACTTTCATCACAAGCCAGATTTATCTTCACTTACACTAGTAGGCAAAATACTTCAAATTTTAATGTATGGAATGGATGCACAATGATCTGGAATTATAGTTGATGCATTGGTCTTTTGACTTAGAGACTGGAGAAAATAGAACTTCCAAGCATCTTCTGGTCAATAGCTAGAAGATTCTGGTAACTTAGGCTTTTTTTCCTCTTTTGATACAGTGCAACCTGTTTTATATCTAAAAATCTTAAGGATAGCTTAATGGTTCCTGGAGGCACAGTATACGTTAACCCTCTGTTGTCTCCTTGGTTTCTTTTTTTTTTTTCCTTAGTTTTTATAAAAGAAAAGAAGTGATTATTATGCTCGATAAACTTTGAATTAAATAAAATTGTCTGAGGATATGATAATACATCCACAAAAATTAGAAAACCATTCTTCTTACCAATTTTCTCCTCCCATCCAATGTTTTCACTTGTTCCATGTTGTAGTTGACAGAGAGCAATTATAGAACAGAGACTTCTGCATTTCTTTCATGTGTTAGATATTGGCAACAAAGCCAAAGTTGTAATGTTAGTTATATGGAGTTCATCATGAAATGGAGAATTTCCAGATGATAACACATTCTTTTCAGCTAGGTATAGGCACCTAGATAGAATTCTAAGTAGTAAAGTTTCAAAATATTCTCTCATTTAAAAATTTCATCCTCTTGAAAACCTTTGTTCTTTATAATTATCCACAATAAGAAGTTCTGTGTGACCAGCTTCATCTCTTCTGCAAAGAAAATGTTCTTGAAGTTTTACCAAGACCAGAAGCTAATGATCATATTTACTAGGCAGCTGTAACTATCACATAGTTTAAAAATTATACAGCTTCAGATTGCCTATACTTTGTTCACAAACATGCACAGTTTAAGTATGGCTGATTTAGAAATAAACAACTCAGTAACATCTTTAGACTCCCCTGATCAACACCAAATTACTACCTGTCATTTGCTTTCTGAAAGAGTTTGAAAAACCAGAGCAAATGTGTCTTTAAGCAGATTCAACTCCTTTTAATATTTTTCTCGTTGGCCCCTCTCTCTGCCCCCTGAATCTTTATGGTGCTATTGTAGCTCTACTCTGTGCACCATGCTAAGAAGCTTCCTATTTGGCAGAAAATGTTTGGCAGCAAAGCTATAGAGACAGGTGCATTCAGAACAGCCTGGGCACCAGTCATGAGTCTTACTGAGTGTCAAAAATCTGAAAACAGTTGCTGAGAACCAAATTTATTCCATTGGAAAAGCCCTCTGGAGATATAAGCCTCTTGGACTCTCCTTTGTAGATTAAGTCTTGCATTTCCCTTCTTGTCTGGTAAAAGATGATGAAAGCCATTATCCATCCTCACTGCTGAGTGGCAGGGAGAAGCAGCACCACCCCCAACTCTATAATCTTGTAACTTAGTGCTAAAGTCTCTCTGTGCTGTTAGCATGGGCGTTCTTTTCCTGATGGAGCTGAAAGCAGATGACCCCAAGTAGGGAAGCTATAGATCTTGGAAAGAGAGATCCCCTGGGGCCAGAAGCCAGATCAGCAAATGGAGGAACGTCGGAGTTGACCAGAAAGATCTCCGTCAGTTGGACAAGGCTGTAAGTAGTGATGGTCTTAGTGGTGCATGACATAACTGACTTTGAGACACTGTGGCAGAGCTGCTGTTTTCTGAAAGTGAGAAACCACTTTAGCTCAGACCAACCCTTAAGTAAAAATTTAGCAGATTTTATTGGCAATAGTGGAACACATCTAGAAAAAGTTGCTGATTGCATTGGTTATGGGAATGGGGGTTAATGACGTTTGTAATTTATTACGTTCATTGCTTTTTATTGATTATAGTATTACCTGACTTTTCTTCTCTACTATGGTTTCTTTAGCAGAAAAGTAATTCTTGTGCATATACTGAAGTGGCTTTCCAGCTGTGAATTCTTTAGGGTAAACACTTATTTAGCAAATGTGAATTCTTTTGAGAAAGTATGAAGTTTTGTAGAAATTGACTGTGAAATGTCAGAGAAAAATAAAAGTCACTTACTTGAAAATTATTTGGCCTTTTTGCTTTATAACTGCTTCAAAATACTAAGTAGTGGGCACAACAATGTGTGCCTCTAATCCAAGCTACTTGCTAAGAGGGTAGGTGTGAAGATCACTTGAGCACAGGAGTTTTGTTTTGGGGTTTTTTTTTTTTTTGGAAATAGAGTTTCACTCTGTTGCCCAGGCTAGAGTGCCATAGCGTCAGCCTAGCTCACAGCAACCTCAAACTCCTGAGCTCAAGCAATCCTCCTGCCTCAGCTTCCTGAGTAGCTAGGACTACAGGCACCTGCCATAACACCTGGCTGTTTATTTTTAGCAGAGACAGGGTTTTGCTCTTGTTCAGGCTGGTCTCAAACTCTTGAGCTCAAGAGATCCTCCTGCCTCAGGGCCTCCCAGAGTGCTAGGATTACAAGAGTAAGCCACTACATGTGGCTGAGCCCAGCAGTTTCTGAGACCAGCCTCAAAAAAAAGTCTAGAGTAATTGATTCAAATTTTAAACATAGATACTATGTTTCTTGGAAATGGTGAGATCAGGTACTGAACATGTAGAAATTCATTATTCGGACTTTCACTGATGGGAACTTAAAAGGAAATGCAGGCAGTCTTAAAGCAAATGAGTAGGCCAACGACACCCTGGTATTGGAGGTTTATACTGGGTAGGTTGGGAAGAGTGAGAAGAAAATACAGTTCAGTGATTTCTCCCATCTGATCTGACACTTCACAAATAGAACTTTTAAATGACCAAACTACTACAGTTGTACACTGGGATAAACTAAAGCCACATGAAGTGAAGCTCTTTGTACAGCAGTGGTTCTCAACCTTCCTAATGCTGCAACC